GATCAAATTTTGAAACTCAAATTTCACTCACTTCCCAACTAGCTAGCAAGCTGAAACTTTCAGGATAGCTTAGAAACTGATGACAATGCAATCTTTTGTGAAAAGAATAATTATAAGAATATTTTTTAAAATGAATAGAATAATTATAGTAGATTAAAAAATTAATCTAAAAAACCACATTTTTCAAAAAGCAAAAAATAACCTTAAATGTGGTGCGCATGGAGATTGTTGGGAAGAAGTGAAATACAAATGAAATAGATGCGCACCACGTTTAAGGTTATTTTTTGCTTTTTGAAAACGTGGTTTTTTAGATTAATTTTTTAATCTACTAATTTTTTTGTGCTTTTTAGTCTTACTTGAAAAACGTGGTTTTTTAGATTAATTTTTTAATCTACTATAATTTTAGTCAATGTTATTGGGACAAAACAAGAAGAGGAAACTGATGAAGGTTTCCTTGTGTATCAGCTGACAATGCATATGACAATTTGGTCAATTAGTGGCTAGGGAACATTTGATAATATTCTAGAATTTTCAGGTCAGATCACTTGGCCACACTATTCCCAGAAAAAAATAAAAGCTCTTTTTTATTTCATACTCATAAGCAGTCTGTCCTGAACTCTTGAAGTACAATCGTCTCCTACCTTTTTACGAACTGAGTTCTGCAAAAATCTTTGATGGGAATTTGTTTGATCTAATCTGATGGTGTTAGTATTTATTGTGTGCGTGAATTTACACTATTGGATTCATTGAATTCTCAATTTTTTTCTCTGAAAATATAAAATATAACATTATTGAAAAACTGTATAGGAACATATATTCAAGGTGACCCCTTGAATATGTGTTTTTGGCCTCAAAAGGCTGATTGCCTGTGTTTTTTATTTCTTTTGTGATCCTTGATCACAAATGTGATGCAATTGCACATACTTCATCCATTTTACATCAATACAGTACAAACCTTACAAAGATATTCCAAAACACCAATTTTTATACGTTTCACTAAGGGTTTTATGGAAGAAAGCAGGAATCTTAGAAACTGTCAAGGTTTCACTTGTAGAAAAAAAAAAATAGGAGCGCATCCTCCATGTGTTTTATATGAATTTCAATGAGGTCAGGTTAATACGTTACTTTTCCGGTTTTCTAATCGACCTATTTTATGCATAATTTGCTTGATCTGCAATTTAAGACGACGATAGGACGAAACCGTGATTATACCTGTATGTTGGTGGAAAGACTCATTCATGTGTTCAATTAATATGCATTTTTAATAATCGTGATCAATTACTGTATTTTGCTGTATCATCAGTGCAATACCTGAATAAGTTCAATCATCAAAATCTGTAAATATTCATTTACAAAGTACGAAGGTCAATTTCGTTCCGGGCAGACGCTCAAAAATATACAAAAGAGACCGATTTTAATCATCACATATCAAGTTGACATCTTCATCATAAAATTAGAAATATAATTTGACATGTTTTCAAGGGCAACAATGATTTTGATACTACAGTAGTAAATTACAATCATCCCTGAATAATTTGAAGCACCTTCAAGGGCTTATTAAAATTAAGGATCCAAATTTAAGTCTTTTGTCCAGAACATACCAAATTTAATACGTGATGGACAAAAAGATTTGACTTCGGATCACGCATCCATTTAAAAAAGACACACCCTCGGGTAAACCGTAATCAGATCTTATTAGGCGAACAATTTTTGCGTAAAAAAGTAATCTTAAAATTGCTCCCTTGTGCGGTGTCAGTGTTCAGCGATTCGAATAAAAATTTCAACTGCGGAATTACCGGCAGTGTTTGCTCATAAATAAATCAATTGAAATTGCTGGAGCCGAAAGTTTGACAGGATTCCATGCGAAACAAGGTATTGGATTTTAAAATTAGAAAATCAAATTTGAATGGATGCGAATCAAAAACTGAATATTTGAACGGAATGGTGATTATGCAAATCGCCGTGACGCAAACTGGCTTCTTCGTGACACAATTTTCCCACTTACTTGCAAATATTGGATTTCTCCACAAAAATAATTAGAAAGATAATTCGGAAAAGTCGATTAAGATTATTTACTTATTGTTTAAATTTTTAACTTATTGTAGCTCAAGTTTGACTGAATGTCTGGAAAACGTTCGCTTTATTGAAAATAAAATACATTTGTACTCGTGCAGCACGCATAAGAAAAACATTTCGCAAAAAAAAAAAAACACAACAAGAGAGCATTTTCAAAAATAGCGATGGCACAAAAGAGGATGTATCAAATATTTAATTTCAGTATTTTATGTAAGATATTGAGTTATTACATCATGAACGGCATGCCTAGGAATATTACGCTGTTTTAGAGGTTTGAAGAGCTTTAGCCATTTAAATTCTTTGTTTTTGTAATTATACTCTTATGTTTGGTCAGGTTAACTTATGGGCAGGATAAATCAGATTAGCTTAAATGCCTGTTCTCTCATGCAGTTAATTTTTTCTGGAGATACATATTGAAAACACAATTTTAAATTCCGCATAATTTCACCATCGTCAATTTCACACTTCGAATATGCTCGTATTTTCTCATTTAAATACGCAAGCATGAACGAAAAATATTTACATTTTTTTGAATGAGAATAAGTGTGACAAACATATAATTTTCAAGATGTCTCGATCAAATGGCCGATTTGCTGCCGTTAACCAAATATTTTAGTTCCTTTGCTCTCTGTCACTCTGAGTCACGCAAAGAAGCAGAAAAATAACAAATTATTCATGTCGTATCTCATAAAATTTTCCGCAAACATGAAGCACGTTTACATGATAGGGATGCTTTCTGTAACATGATTGCAGGGGATCAGAAGCTATTCCCCAGAATTAATATTTATTGCTCATAATATTGGATAATCGATCGGAACGCTTCAACTTTTAAAAAATGTCTCAGCCTCGAAAAAAAAAATTAAAATTTATTCCACGGGAGTGAAAGGTCAGTCAGTCAGATAAAATGTATTTGACGTGTGGAACCGGTCACACACTTTGACAATATTATACTTATTTACTTGTCCGGAAAAAGACCTTGGAATTTTAAATTTTACGCGCCGACGATCTTCTGTAACGGGCAATGAATAAAATAGCTTCAACAATCGATTGGATTGCTTTCGTGGGGTTATTTCGAGTGTATCGACCTTGTTTTCCATCAAACTAGCTCATCATTGTATTCGATGATTGTTGCACTTTAACCCAGGTTTGAATTATTCAAATTATCGATCAGGCTTATAATTGCAAAGGGTAGCAAAATTGGATGATATTTTCTTCGACGATTTACGCGTTAAATGACGAAGTGAAGATCCTACGCTAAAACTGCTTAATTAGGATCAAGTCGAATAAATATTTTGTTATTTTACAAAAAATTTTCAGATCGAATGAATGTCGAAGGAAATTTTCATGAGGTTAATGATGTACCGGTATTTAAATTCTGAACCGATTTCACAATCAATTTCGCTTTTATTTCCTCGCATTAATTACAGTATCTATGTTGCGCAATTTCGATTGAAATTAATTTATACTGTAACCGTCATCGTGAAAATTAAAATTAACGCCAAAAATAATGTCGAAGTACTGTATCTGAGAATCTGCACTTAAATCATAGTGTTCCACCTTTCGTTTCGGGAACAAAATCCTTCAATTTTAAATTTCATTTCATGCTATTAGATTCGTCGTCCAAACGTTCTGAACATTTTGAAAACTTTTTCAATCTAGGCAAAATTTGTCACGGAATATTCAATCGTCTCGGATGGGATTTGAACAAATTTACACGATTTTTTTTTTCGATTCCAACCAACCTGTTGATCAAGAAACGATTTGCAGGAAACTGAAGTCGTGCCTTCATCCTCTGCGACAAACTTTCCATTTATGCTCGGATTCGTCGTTGTTTCTCCGAGGAAAGCTTCGTCTGGCATGAAATCAAAGACCATCGAGATTGTGAGCAAGTTTTTGGGTCCGAAATCCGCGGGGAAAATTTCCAACGACACGGAGGGGTCTTGAATGTCTGCCAATTTCGGATCAACGCCTTTCAAGACGGCGCCGAATTCTCGGCATATTTCTTCATGGTTCGTTCGTGAAGCAGTTTTTCCCGTTGTTGTCGAAATCAACACCGAAATCAAGAAAGTCGAGATTCGCAGCAATGATCTAATCATCCTTCAAAATATTTTCTTTGCAAAATTCAACACCTAGAACGGAAATGAATTTCAGCATCGACGCGTCAGTTTTGGTTCGAATTTTGTTTTAGTGTGATTATACGAGCATTTCAAGGAAATAAGAAGAGATAAAAATCTTCGTTTTTTTTTAGAATTAATGGAACAACACAACGATTTAACGTAACTTTAGATCACGACAACTGCGTTTATTGCAGTTCCGAATACATTACTGGATAATTGAACTGAATTAAATTAAAAGTGTAATGGATATTTCCGCCTTTCAGCTGGTTCCACAAATAAATGCATGACGTAACTCAGATTTTCCCTTCGAGAAAATTCCTCTGTTCAATGGCTTGACAAATTTCAAAATATAATTCAAGTGTACGAAAGCTGCAGTCTGGAAAGAGCTACTGAGAATTCAGAAGTAAATTGAAAAGCCTGCAGGTTTATTTTCGAAAATGTGCAGGCAATTATAGATTTCTGCATCATTTCATTTTGCTGGACGTGTTTTTAACAGAATAATGACAAATTCACCGAAATCCGTACCACTTCCGCGACTTTCACGTCTTGTTTGAAAATGTTGCTAATTTTCTCGGATTTAAATATTTGCAGGGCAGGAGAGATACTCCGGCTTACGGTAAATCATCTAATTTTCATGATTGAACGATGATTTTTTCACGTTGAAAATATCGCGAACTTCGAACGAATCAAGATATGGGTAAAATCATGGACCGGGAAAGAAAAATACTTTTTAAATAAAAGATGCGAAAACCACAAAACTTCCCTAAATCAAAATTTCGGAAACGACAAGCTTAATGCTGTACACGAAATAATCCCACTTTTTATATTGATGCATTCAAAATTTTTCTCATACAGCATCACCAATAAGAGATCGTTAGCAACCTTTTTCACCTTAAGAAACCAAAATGAATTAGGCAAAATTCATTTTTTCTTCAAAAGGCGATAATAAATGTTTGGCAAAAAAAAATTAATTCACATACAAAACACGAACAACTGTGGCTGACGAAACCCCCAACTCGTATACATATAGCAAGCAGTCCCAGTATAAAAGAGCAGCGTATATATGGGGTGCAAAAACCCCACCCCTATCCTGTATATACCCGCAACCCTGGTGTGTTGCTAAGCAACCCCGAATGTTGTCCTAAAATTGATCACCAATCCCCTTTCTCCCCTTCAACCTTGCCTATATACAGCTCGCAATTCATGTAATGACCTATTTCCATGCATGATTGTCGTACTTCTAAAATGCCTGCTTTCGCGAAAAGGAAAACAAAAAAAACAGAAAACTGCTGTAGGAATGCATCCTTGAAATTGCACCTGCAAAAAAAAAAAAAAAGACTCATGTTTGCCCCCGGGATTCCTTCCGGGGGCAAACGTTTTTTGGGGTTGTTTGTTATTCTTTGACCTCCTGTGGAGACTTTTTTTTACCCTGTGGGGACCTTTGGTGTCGCGATGTTCTGTCTCTGGGGGCATTTTCAAATATAAACATTGCTTCACTCCGGAAGAAATAATTTGCTGTTTGTCTGATCGCAGTTCGATGGGTTGATTCGGCGTTCAGATTGAAGAACAATTTTGTAATTTTTTGTATTACAATGCTTAGAAAAACATCACATGGAAACGGCTTCTGAGGCTTTTTGTTGTTGTTGAGAAAATGAAGCAGTAATTTTTCCTCGTTTTAATTTAAGCAATTCGACGGAATTGAATACAGTATTCAAAACATCCAGTGCGACTGTTTTTTATCGATGTTTTTAATAAACATATTTTTCTGAGAAGGAAATCATATCAAAGCAAACGCAAAGTCCGAAGGCTTGAGCTGGATAGAAAATTTCTGGAAACATTTACAGTAAAGACCCCAAGATGCGGACGTAATTGGTGCATCAAGAGTATCCCTAAGTCAAAATGTCCCTTAGTCAAGTTTAATTTTCCCTTAGACTTACATTATATAATTTTTAATTTGTGTTTTATGGAAAAAATACTCAACATAATTCCATGAAAATAAAAATTGTCTCCCAATTGAAACTGATTCAACAAAATAATCACCATAATTCCATGAAATTAGAAACTGTCTCCCAATTTAAGCTGATTCCAATTAATATATTTCAACACAATACGGGCATTCAGGGAACTGAATACTGATACCTCTGTACTGTACATAGAAATGTTGGCATTCTCTGTAAAAATAACATTCAAATGAAAAAGAGAGAAGGAAGTCCTTCAATGCTGGAGGTCATTTTCTCAAGTTAGCTAAATGGATGGTAAATTGGTGAAAGAAATGCCCAAGAACTTTTCTCACATCAATTTTAGGGTTGAAAATATCTGTTTATTGTAATTTGGCCTGAAATGTATTTGCAATTTTGTCACAAAATATCCCTATGTCAAGTCAGTGTCCTAATGTTGGGCCTTTTTTTATTAATTTCTTTTGTGAAAATAAGTGTCCCTATGTTGAATTGTGCGCATGTCAAGGTGTCTGCATGTGGAGGTCTCACTGTACTTGAATGTTAAATTAGGGATTCTACCAAGAATATTCCTGGCCCTTGTCCAGGGCTGATTCTGTGTTTCCTTTTTAAATTTCCTTTTGATCCACAGCCATTATTTTCATCCTTATGTTGTGCTGACTGGTGACCCCAAATAACAGTCATACGATCAATTGACTTTTTCTCAATTGTAAAATTGTCTCTCATGACTGAAATTGAAGATGAAAAAATGTTTAGGAAGTCTCAACATTCTCCAGCACCCTGCAAAACTTTCAGCAAGTTTTTGTTGTTGTTGTTGTTTGCCCTTGTGTAACATAATGGCGTTGAAATTATTTTATTATTCATCTCAACGTGTTCGTACATGCTGAGGTGTGACTCCGGACCAGATCTCCATTTTTAATCAAATTTCTGGTGAAATTAGGACGATAACGAAGTTTTTATTCGTCATTTTCAAGAAACTTTGAACAAAATCGAAAAAAAAATCCACAGAATTCCCTCCGAATTCCTCACCAGATTCCCTGCCTTGATAACTCATCGCTGCTGCTGACGAAGGAGTGAGTTTTTTTTTTTTTTGCGAGGAATGAAAAGAATCAGGCGTTCCCGTTGCCCCGAACGGAAAGAAAATTGAGAAAAAAGGCACAAAAAAATGTTGTCTTATGAATTTTCTTCAATGTGCAGTAAACAACATTCTTCGCCGTTTCTTTTGTTCCGGTGGATGTCGAAAAAATTGCTTTGAAAGGTTCGACGAGGTAAGTTCACTTCAGTTGCTCACGGCGATTCGTGGTGAACCTTTCTTGCTGTTATTAGTGTTGAAATAATTTTCTACTCGAATCAAATGAAAAACGGGATTTAAGAATTTATTCTTCTTATATAGTGTCACGCTAAAAAGTGTATTGTAGGTAGTCAAAAATTATTTTAATCGTTTTATTGCCCAACAGTTGGTTATATATTGTGAATTAACATCTATTATCCTTGGCGTCATGATTCAGTGTTCGGTGAGTGAAAAATGTATGCGCATAAAATTTTCACTTCAGTTAGGTTCCGACAGATTTTGAAAATTGAACATGGCCAGTTTCGGAAACAAAAACGGAGAAATATTGAACGATTTTCTGAGGATACGAGCAATGTTAAAAAAAAAGCCTAATAAGGAGAACAATAATTGCACATGCATCAGAATGAAAAGTGCACAAAAATGCAATCCACCATCATTTTATCTTTGGCCACTTGCTGTTTGGACTTATGCTGATTTTTGAAACCGCTCATCAGCACTCTACTTTTTTTTACAATTGCACTTCAGAAATTTGCTCTTTTGTTCACTCGCGGATTTAAATTGGTAATACTTCGTCTTTTGTGCATTTTTTCTTTCTATGAAGCTTATTTTTATTTTTCTAATTTTCATTCTCTTATTTTCAAAAATTTTTCATATTTGAGTTCGATTTTTCAATACCTTCTGATTTTCCGTTCAATTTTCAAATGTGCACTCAAATGAAATGCTTTATTTTTTTCCGATGAATGAGAACTTTTCGGTTGGGCTGCATTAATAGGTTGGAAAATTCTTTGAAAAACACGATCATAATTCGGCCATAATTTTCATGCTTTTTCACGCTCTTCAGATTACGACCATCATTCTTCTCGTCGTGACATCTGCTATTTCTTCACCACGACATGACGAAAACAGACTTCCCGAATACCTCAAGAAGTTTGAACAACATGAATCGAAAGCCTCTTTCGAAAACCTCGTGTTCTCAGACGAAAGGAAATCAGCAGCACAAGAAACTTTTTCGAATCGACACAAAAGACAAATCGGTTTCGGAAATCAAGTGTCTTCGAAGAACCCGTTTGACCTGTTGGGTCTCAATAATCCCAACACACAAACTCTGAAGAATCCACTGCAGGAAAATTTCGGCCAGCAAGGATTTCCTCATCCGAACCCGTTCCAACCACCACCGGGCAATTTCGGGGTTCAGATTGGGTTGCCCGGGTTCAATCCGTTGTTGCAAATCAGCGGGAATATCCCAGGACCCTTCGGAGGAAATCCAGGGAATCCTTCCGGATTTTCCGGGAACAACGGGTTTCCTTTCAATCCCTTTATCAACTCTGGATCACAGCCTTTTCAAGGCATGAATTTTCCAGGAATTCCGAATTTCCCCGGCAACAATCCAGGAAATTTGTTGTGGAATTCGGGTGGAACCTCGGGTCAAAACACGTTCCCAAATGCTGGTACAAATCAAAATGGACAAGTCATCGAAACCCCTTTGGCAGGTGGCGGAATAACCAGTAACCGACAAGGTGACGGACTGAAACCCTCTCCATTGAATAATCCCGGGAAAACCCAGGCAAACATCAAGAACAATAAAAAACCTGGATTACCAAAAAGACCGCCCATGACAAAAGCAACGACGCCGAAATCGACGAAAGCAAAAACGCCGCCGCCAATTTTTTACCCGGATGTTACAGAAGAACTGCGAAGTTCATCAAATAATGAAGGAGCCGAGACTAAACTGAAGTTTTGAATCTTGAAAGATATATTTTCATCGCTC